AGAGCTGGGGGTTATCCTATTCTGGGAAGGCACATCTGAATAGCCAGGTCTTCAAGTTCTTCCTAAAGACTGCCAACGTGGGTGCTAGTCTAATGTCTTTGGGGAGGGTGTTCCAGAGTCGGGGGGCAACCACAGAGAAGGCCCTGTCCCTCGTCCCCACCAAACGCGCCTGTGACGCAGGTGGGATCGCGAGCAGGGCCTCTCCGGATGAACGAAGGGAGCGCGTGGGTTCATAAACGGAGATGCGGTCACACAGGTAGGCAGGCCCGTAGCCAGGATTTCGTTTCGGGGGGGGGGGGGGCTGAGTTTCGGGGGGGGGGGGCTGAGTCTGAGTGAAAGAGGGTCTAGCCTAGCAAACCTTTTGTATCATTACCTCAATACCCCCATGCATATGGGATATATTGAGTATGGTGATCAGATCATGATATGAATAAACATACCAGTTTAAATAATGCACCAGTAAATTAGACTGTAGACAGGACATAAATTCTTTGTGCCCAACGGGACGCCGGGGCTGCCTCAGATTAAAGGCCCTTAGATTCCCCCAAACAGAGTCTTTAGAATGCTTAAAGTAAGTCCAACAAAGTTCTTTATTAAGGAACAAACAGGTACTTTAACGGTTTTCTTTACAGTCTATAGCAGTGGTTCTCAACCTTCCTAATGCCGTGACCCCTTAATACAGTCCCTCAGGTGGTGGTGACCCCCAAACATAATATTGTTTTCGTTGCTACTTCATAACAGTCATTTTACTACTGTTATAAATCATAATATAAATATCTGATATGCAGGGTGTATTTTCATTCACTGGACCAAACTGGGCACAAATACCCAATACACCCAAATGTGAATGCTAGTGGGGTTGGGGGAGGATTGATTTTGTAATTTGGGAGTTGTAGTTGCTGGGATTTATAGTTCACTTATAATCAAAGAGCATTCTGAACTCCACCAGCAATGGATTTGAACCAAACTTGGCTCCCATGACCAATGGAAAACACTGGAAGGGTTTGATGGGCATTGACCTTGAGTTTGGGAGTTGTAGTTCACCTATATCCAGAGAGCACTGTGGACTCATGCAATGGTGGATCTGGACCAAACTTGGCACGAATACTCAATATGCCCAAATGTGAACACTGGTGGAGTCTGGGAAAAATAGATCTTGACATTTGGGAGTTGTAGTTGCTGGGATTTATAGTTCATTACAATCAAAGAACATTCTGAACTCCACCAACGATAGAATTGGCTCAAACTTCCCACATGGAATCCCCATGACAATCACAAAATGCTGTGTTTTCTTGTGGTCTTTGGTGACCCCTCTGACACCCCCTTGCGACCTCCTCAGGGGTCCCGACCCCCCAGGTTGAGAAACACTGGTCTATAGGCTCTTTCAATCTTGTCCACTAGGAACAGGCACTGTCTTCTTAACTGTAACTAACTGATGGGGAAATCCTTAACTTCTAATCTGGGCAGTCTGTCTTTGCCTCTGTTGACGTGGAGCCCCTGCACCCGGTACCAACTGCGTCTGGCTTCCGCGAGTGACCCTTGCCTCAACAGAGCTTTGTAGACCTCCAGGGAAAAAGAAGGAGTTCAGGTTGCTGTGATGGCCGGCTGGAGTCCCTCAGCCAAGCTGTGGCTGTTAGGCCTGTGCGATTCGTTTCGTTAATTCGTTAATTCGTTAATAATTCGTTAATTTTACCATTTCCGAAGCGATATTGAAACAAATCTCCAAACCCGGAAGGGTTTATAAATATCGAACCAGCAGCCCCCATAGTATTTACGAGCCTCCGCTCGTTTCGTTAATGGGGTGGAGGCTGCTGGAGTGCTGGTGCATGGGAGCCAATCCGGCGCTCCCAAGCAGTGCACCATGGGTCCGTGGCTGTCTCTTTTTGATTGGCCGGCGAGCCCTTTCAAAGCGGCTCCGCGCGGCCCGTAGCTTGCTGCAGAGGGCGAGGGAGTTTGCATTGGGTTGGCTTGGCAATGGCTGCTAGCAACTGGGATTGGATTCATTCCTTGCTGCTGTGAGTGCTGCTTGCTTCATTTGCTGTCTCTTGCCTGTGTTTGGTCCACATTTGGGCCATTTTTTGGTTAATTTTCCATTTTAAAATATTTTTAATATTATTTTTTAATATTATTTTTAATATTATTTTTTAATATTATTTTAATATTATTTTTTAATATTATTTTAATATTATTTTTAAAAAATATTCTAAAAAAGAAAAGACTCTTCTGTTGGTGTGTGCTCTCATTTGCTGTATCGTGCCTGTGTTTGGTCCACATTTGGGCCATTTTTTGGTTAATTTTCCATTTTAAAATATTTTTAATATTATTTTTTAATATTATTTTTTAATATTATTTTAATATTATTCTTAAAAAATATTCTAAAAAAGAAAAGACTCTTCTGTTGTTGTGTGCTCTCATTTGCTGTCTCCTGCCTGTGTTTGGTCCACATTTGGGCCATTTTTTGGTTAATTTTCCATTTTAAAATATTTTTTAATATTATTTTAATATTATTCTTAAGAAATAACAAAAATATTCTAAAAATTCGTTAATATTTACAAAATTTCTTAAATACCAAAACTTTTTTTTGGAAAGTTTTGTAATTATTTTAAATATCGAAACAAAAAAACACCCCAATTACAAATCGATTTTAGAAACAAATTTTTTCTTGATCAAACAGGCCTAGTGGCTGTATGTCTCCTGGCCAAGCCGTAGGGCTGTATAACCCCGGCCAAGCTGTAAAAGACGAAGCTTTTCTACAGGAGCCACTTCGTTCTATGTCCTGTGCGAAAGGCTTCTCTGTGAGAACTAACTCAAAATGGCTCTGTTCCCTCCAAAACTCAAAAAGGGGCGGGACCAGGGAACCTAACTATAACTGGCAGGTGGCTTACCCTATAAATGCAAATTATAACAGGAAACCCCCTGCTGCAAAATCCCAAGCATGGGATTGCACACAAACATTTATTTATTATTTATTTATTACCTTTATTTGTACCCCGCGAGCATCTCCCGCGGGACTCGATGCGGCTTACACAGGCCGAAGCCTCAAACACAATACAATAGAACATAACACAATAATAAGCAAAACAAATCAAGCAATTAAGCAAAATAACAAACAATATCTACATCAAAACACTGATTAAAACTGGTTCGGCCGGCGCAATGGGGTACAAGGGTTAAAATGCTGAAATGGCAGGGGAACATAGGATTAGAGGTATGGTGTGCAGTAACATCGGTTGTACTGAAGTGCTTCTAGGACTTGGGATGGGGGATTCCTAATCTGAAAAGGCACATCGGAACAGCCAGGTTTTTAGATTCCTTCTGAAAACTACCAGAGTAGGGGCCTGTCGGAGATCTTTTGGAAGAGCATTCCAAAGTCGGGGGGCCGCCACAGAGAAGGCCCTGTCCCGTGTCCCCACCAAGCGCGCTTGCGACGTGGGTGGGATCACGAGCAGGGCCTCCCCAGATGACCGGAGCGAGCGTGTGGGTTCGTAGATGGAGATGCGGTCACGCAGGTAGGGTGGTCCCAAACCGTTCAGGGCTTTGTAGGTGAGCACCTGCACCTTGAATTGGGCTCGGAAAATAAATGGCAGCCAGTGGAGCTCCTTAAACAGAGGGGTAGACCTCTCTTGATAATGAGCCCCAGTTAGCATCCTGGCTGCTGCCCGCTGGACCAGTTGGAGTTTCCGAGCCGTCTTCAAGGGCAGCCCCACGTAGAGCGCATTGCAGTAATCCAGTAATTTAAACACAGCAAATAAATCTGGAGCTCCTGGAACAGCTGTTCCAGAACATAACAGTTTAAATAATGCACCAGTAAGGCCTTTTCGCAAACCACCATGAGAATTTGGGGGGGGGGGCTGAAGCCCCTCAAGCCCCCCCCCCCCCCCCCCCCCCCCCCCCCCCCCCCCCCCCCCCCCCCCCCCCCCCCCCCCCCTCCACCCCCCCCCCCCCCCCCCCCTCCCCCCCACCCCCGCCCCCCCCCCCCCCCCCCGGCGCGGCACACCCACGCGCCGCCCAGCAGGCGCGCGCCCTCAAGGAGGAGGGGCGCCGCCGGAAGAAGGCCCTGGCCGCCCTCCAGCAGGCCCTCGCCCACGCCGCCGGCCCCCCCCCCCCCCCCCCCCCCCCCGGGCGGCCCCCCCCCCCCCCACCCGCCCCCCCCCCCGGCTACATGCCTGCAGGTAGGCAGGTCCCAAACCGTGTAGGGCTTTGTAGGGCTCTGCATTGTGTTTTTACGACATTCCCTCTTTGTCTTTTGCACTAGAAGCAGATTATTATTATTATTATTATTATTGTATTGTCGAAGGCTTTCATGGCTGGAATCACTAGGTTCTTGTGGGTTTTTTTGGGCTATATGGCCATGTTCTAGAGGCATTTCTCCTGACGTTTCGCCTGCATCTATGGCAAGCATCCTCAGAGGTAGTGAGGTCTGTTGGAAATAGGAAATGGGTTTATATATCTGTGGAATGGCTGGGGTGGGGCAAGGAGCTCTTCCCTGCTGCAGTTAGGTGTGAATGTTTCCACTGACCACCTTCATTAGCATTTGAAAGCCTGCCTGAGCCTGGGAAAATCTGTTCCTGGGAGGTGTTAATCTGTGCCTGGTTTTTTCCTCTCTGTTGTTTATCTGTTATAATTTTAGAGTTTTTTAATACTATTATTATTATTATTTAGGCATATGCTTTCCCTGCATGGAGGCAGGAGGGGGTTGGACTGGATGGCCTTTGGGTCCCCTTCCCAACCCTAGAATGGTGTGTGAGCAGGAGGAGGTCTCTTCCAACTCTTTGATTCTCTGATTCTATAGGAGGAGGGGGTCTTGCTTTCTTCTCCTCCTTCCTTGCCTTGCCTTGCCTGCCGCCCTTCCCTCTGTGGCCTGCAGGGGGCGCGCCGTGCTCCCTTCGCCCAGGCAAAGCGGTGGCGGCAGAGGCAGCAGAGGCAGCAGAGGCGTAGCAGGCAGAAGCAGAGGCAGAAGCAGAGGAGGCAGAGCCAGGAGCCAGGCTTCCTTCCTCCTTCCTTCCTTCCTTCCAGCCCTCCTGCCTTCTCCCCAAGGGCCGGGGTCTCCGCCTTGGGGGCCATGGACCCTCCGCGGCCCTTCAACGACTCGCTCTGCCGGAGCCCCGACCCCGCATCCCCCGCCTCCGCTTGGAATGGGACCGGGGCAGCAGCATCCCCCTCCCCAGCAGGAGCATCAGCAGGAGGAGCAGGGCTGGGGGGCTGCGACCCCTCCCGGAGGGGCCTCCGAGGACTACGAGGTGAGCAGCCACCCCCACCCCCCACATCCCCAAGGCAACCCCCTCCCTTCAAGAAAGGGGAATCCCGGGAAAACACCCCCTCCCTGGGCATCCCAAAAGGGGGGTGGGGACCCCAAAGGACATCCAGCCCGACCCCTTCCTCCAGGCAGGCAAAGCACACCCCAAGCCCCTCCCGGTAACAGGGACACCCCACTTCTGCTTACTCCATCCTAGTCCCCAATTTGCAAGAGAATCCCAAAGGGCATGGAGTCCAATCTCTCTCTCTCTTCCTTCCTTCCTTCCTTCCTTCCTTCCTTCCTTCCTTCCAGGCAGGTAAAGCACACCCCAAGCCCCTCCCGGTACAGGGACACCCCACTTCTGCTTACTCCATCCTAGTCCCCAATTTGCAAGAGAATCCCAAAGGGCATCGAGTCCAATCTCTCTCTCTCTTCTTTCCTTCCTTCCTTCCTTCCTTCCTTCCTTCCTTCCTTCCTTCCTTCCTTCCTTCCTTCCTTCTTCCAGGCAGGTAAAGCACACCCCAAGCCCCTCCCGGTAACAGGGACACCCCACTTCTGTTTATTCCATCATAGAGTCCCAAAGTGGGAAGGGAACCCCAAAAAGCATCTAGTCCAATCCCCCTTCCATCTATTCCACTTCCCTTCCTTCCTTCCTTCTCCTTCCTTCCTTCCTTCCTTCCTTCCTTCCTTCCTTCCTTCCTTCCTTCTTCCAGGCAGGCAAAGCACACCCCAAGCCCCTCCCAGTACAGGGACACCCCACTTCTGCTTACTCCATCCTAGTCCCCAATTTGCAAGAGAATCCCAAAGGGCATCGAGTCCAATCTCTCTCTCTCTTCTTTCCTTCTTTCCTTCCTTCCTTCCTTCCTTCCTTTCCAGGCAGGCAAAGCACACCCCAAGCCCCTCCCAGTACAGGGACACCCCACTTCTGCTTACTCCATCCTAGTCCCCAATTTGCAAGAGAATCCCAAAGGGCATCGAGTCCAATCTCTCTCTCTCTTCTTTCCTTCTTTCCTTCCTTCCTTCCTTCTTCCTTCCTTCCTTCCTTCCTTCCTTCCTTCCTTCCTTCTTCCAGGCAGGCAAAGCACACCCCAAGCCCCTCCCAGTACAGGGACACCCCACTTCTGCTTACTCCATCCTAGTCCCCAATTTGCAAGAGAATCCCAAAGGGCATCGAGTCCAATCTCTCTCTCTCTTCTTTCCTTCTTTCCTTCCTTCCTTCCTTCCTTCCTTCCTTCCTTCCTTCCTTCCTTCCTTCCTTCCTTCTTCCAGGCAGGCAAAGCACACCCCAAGCCCCTCCCAGTACAGGGACACCCCACTTCTGCTTACTCCATCCTAGTCCCCAATTTGCAAGAGAATCCCAAAGGGCATCGAGTCCAATCTCTCTCTCTCTTCTTTCCTTCTTTCCTTCCTTCCTTCCTTCCTTCCTTCTTCCAGGCAGGCAAAGCACACCCCAAGCCCCTCCCAGTACAGGGACACCCCACTTCTGCTTACTCCATCCTAGTCCCCAATTTGCAAGAGAATCCCAAAGGGCATCGAGTCCAATCTCTCTCTCTCTTCTTTCCTTCTTTCCTTCCTTCCTTCCTTCCTTCCTTCTTCCAGGCAGGCAAAGCACACCCCAAGCCCCTCCCAGTACAGGGACACCCCACTTCTGCTTACTCCATCCTAGTCCCCAATTTGCAAGAGAATCCCAAAGGGCATCGAGTCCAATCTCTCTCTCTCTTCTTTCCTTCTTTCCTTCCTTCCTTCCTTCCTTCCTTCCTTCCTTCCTTCCTTCCTTCCTTCCTTCTTCCAGGCAGGCAAAGCACACCCCAAGCCCCTCCCAGTACAGGGACACCCCACTTCTGCTTACTCCATCCTAGTCCCCAATTTGCAAGAGAATCCCAAAGGGCATCGAGTCCAATCTCTCTCTCTCTTCTTTCCTTCTTTCCTTCCTTCCTTCCTTCCTTCCTTCTTCCAGGCAGGCAAAGCACACCCCAAGCCCCTCCCAGTACAGGGACACCCCACTTCTGCTTACTCCATCCTAGTCCCCAATTTGCAAGAGAATCCCAAAGGGCATCGAGTCCAATCTCTCTCTCTCTTCTTTCCTTCTTTCCTTCCTTCCTTCCTTCCTTCCTTCTTCCAGGCAGGCAAAGCACACCCCAAGCCCCTCCCAGTACAGGGACACCCCACTTCTGCTTACTCCATCCTAGTCCCCAATTTGCAAGAGAATCCCAAAGGGCATCGAGTCCAATCTCTCTCTCTCTTCTTTCCTTCTTTCCTTCCTTCCTTCCTTCCTTCCTTCCTTCCTTCCTTCCTTCCTTCCTTCCTTCCCAGGCAGGCAAAGCACACCCCAAGCCCCTCCCAGTACAGGGACACCCCACTTCTGCTTACTCCATCCTAGTCCCCAATTTGCAAGAGAATCCCAAAGGGCATCGAGTCCAATCTCTCTCTCTCTTCTTTCCTTCTTTCCTTCCTTCCTTCCTTCCTTCCTTTCTTCCAGGCAGGTAAAGCACACCCCAAGCCCCTCCCAGTGCAGGGACACCCCACTTCTCCTTACTCCATCCTAGTCCCCAATTTGCAAGAGAATCCCAAAGGGCATGGAGTCCAATCTCTCTCTCTCTTCCTTCCTTCCTTCCTTCCTTCCTTCCTTCCTTCCTTTCTTCCAGGCAGGTAAAGCACACCCCAAGCCCCTCCCAGTACAGGGACACCCCACTTCTGCTTACTCCATCCTAGTCCCCAATTTGCAAGAGAATCCCAAAGGGCATGGAGTCCAATCTCTCTCTCTCTTCTTTCCTTCCTTCCTTCCTTCCTTCCTTCCTTCCTTCCTTCCTTCCTTCCTTCCTTCCTTCCTTCCTTCCTTTCTTCCAGGCAGGTAAAGCACACCCCAAGCCCCTCCCAGTGCAGGGACACCCCACTTCTCCTTACTCCATCCTAGTCCCCAATTTGCAAGAGAATCCCAAAGGGCATCGAGTCCAATCTCTCTCTCTCTTCTTTCCTTCTTTCCTTCCTTCCTTCCTTCCTTCCTTCTTCCAGGCAGGCAAAGCACACCCCAAGCCCCTCCCAGTACAGGGACACCCCACTTCTGCTTACTCCATCCTAGTCCCCAATTTGCAAGAGAATCCCAAAGGGCATCGAGTCCAATCTCTCTCTCTCTTCTTTCCTTCCTTCCTTCCTTCCTTCCTTCCTTCCTTCCTTCCTTCCTTCCTTCTTCCAGGCAGGTAAAGCACACCCCAAGCCCCTCCCAGTACAGGGACACCCCACTTCTGCTTACTCCATCCTAGTCCCCAATTTGCAAGAGAATCCCAAAGGGCATGGACCCCACTTCTGCTTACTCCATCCTAGTCCCCAATTTGCAAGAGAATCCCAAAGGGCATCGAGTCCAATCTCTCTCTCTCTTCTTCCTTCCTTCCTTCCTTCCTTCCTTCCTTCCTTCCTTCCTTCCTTCCTTCCTTTCTTCCAGGCAGGTAAAGCACACCCCAAGCCCCTCCCGGTAACAGGGACACCCCACTTCTGCTTACTCCATCCTAGTCCCCAATTTGCAAGAGAATCCCAAAGGGCATGGAGTCCAATCTCTCTCTCTCTTCTTTCCTTCCTTCCTTCCTTCCTTCCTTCCTTCCTTCCTTCCTTCCAGGCAGGTAAAGCACACCCCAAGCCCCTCCCGGTAACCCCACTTCTGCTTACTCCATCCTAGTCCCCAATTTGCAAGAGAATCCCAAAGGGCATCGAGTCCAATCTCTCTCTCTCTTCTTTCCTTCCTTCCTTCCTTCCTTCCTTCCTTCCTTCCTTCCTTCCTTCCTTCCTTTCTTCCAGGCAGGTAAAGCACACCCCAAGCCCCTCCCAGTACAGGGACACCCCACTTCTGCTTACTCCATCCTAGTCCCCAATTTGCAAGAGAATCCCAAAGGGCATGGACCCCACTTCTGCTTACTCCATCCTAGTCCCCAATTTGCAAGAGAATCCCAAAGGGCATGGAGTCCAATCTCTCTCTCTCTTCCTTCCTTCCTTCCTTCCTTCCTTCCTTCCTTCCTTCCTTCCTTCCTTTCTTCCAGGCAGGTAAAGCACACCCCAAGCCCCTCCCGGTAACAGGGACACCCCACTTCTGCTTACTCCATCCTAGTCCCCAATTTGCAAGAGAATCCCAAAGGGCATCGAGTCCAATCTCTCTCTCTCTTCCTTCCTTCCTTCCTTCCTTCCTTCCTTCCTTCCTTCCTTCCTTCCAGGCAGGTAAAGCACACCCCAAGCCCCTCCCGGTAACAGGGACACCCCACTTCTGATTCTTCCATCCTAGTGTCCCAAAGTGGGGAGGGAACCTCAAAGGGCATCTAGTCCAATCCTCCTTCCATTTAGTCCCATCCCCCTCCCTTCCTTCCTTCCTTCCTTCCTTTTTTCTTCCAGGCAGGCAAAACACAACCCAAGCCCCTCCCAGTACAAGCACACCCCACTTCTGCTTACTCCATCCAAGAATCCCAAAGTGGGAAGGGAACCCCAAAGGACATCTAGACATGCAATCCGATCCCCTTCCTACCTATCTACCTACCTACCTTCCTAGAATTATAGAATCCTAGAGTTGGAAGAGACCTGGTGGGCCATCCAGTCCAACCCCATTCTGCCAAGAAGCAGGAAAATCACATTCAAAGCACCCCCGACAGATGGCCACCCAGCCCCTGTTTCAAAGCTTCCAAAGAAGGAGCCTCCACCACACTCTATCATAGAATCATAAGAGTTGGAAGAGACCTGGTGGGCCATCCAATCGAGCCCCCTACCAAGAAGCAGCCAGGCCGGTTGGAGTGGAGTCATCCGACCGCATAGAGACCCCTTGAGGTTTCCATTTCTGTTGCTGGAAGCTTCGGGGTCCTAAAACTTCCCAAATGGCAACAAGGGCACTTTTGGCCGCTGCGCATTACAATTAGGCTCAAGTCTACATGGGTATCGTGATGAGTATTAGAACCCAAGCACTCCTAACACAGCGCCAGTCGAGCCTCTCTTTCAGAAACCTCCAGAAAGGAAGGAAGGGAGGGAGGGAGGGAGGAAAGAAGGAAGGAGGAAAGAAGGGAAGGAGGAAAGAAGAAAGGAAGAAGGGGAGGAAGGAAAGAAGGAGGGGAGGAAAGAAGACACGGAAGGAAAAGGAAAGGAAAGGAGGAAAGAAGGAAGGAAGGAAGGAAGGAAGGAAGGGAGGGAGGGAGGGAAAGGAGGAAAGAAGGGAAGAAGAGAAAGGAAGGAAGGAAGGAAGGAAGGAAAGAAAGGAGAAAAGGAGAAAAGAAGGAAGGAAAGGAGGAAAGAAGGGAGGGAGGGAGGGAGGAAGGAAGGAAAAAAGGAAGCAAAAAAGGAAGTAAATAAGGAAGAAAAGAAGGAAGAGAGGGAGGGAGGAAAGGAGGAAGGAAGGAAAGAAGGAAGGAAGGAGAGAAGGGAGGGAGGGAGGAAAGGAGGAAAGAAGGAAGGAGGAAAGAAGGGAAGGAGGAAAGAAGAAAGGAAGAAGGGGAGGAAGGAAAGAAGGAGGGGAGGAAAGAAGACATGGTGGAAGAAAGGAAGGAAGGAGGAAAGAAGGAAGGAGGAAGGAAGGGAGGGAGGGAGGGAGGAAAGGAGGAAAGGAAGGAAGGAAGGAAGGAAGGAAGGAAGGAAGGAAGGAAGGAAGGAGGGAGGGAAGGAAGGAAAGAAAGGAGAAAAGGAGAAAAGAAGGAAGGAAAGGAGGAAAGAAGGGAGGGAGGGAGGGAGGAAGGAAGGAAAAAAGGAAGCAAAAAAGGAAGTAAATAAGGAAGAAAAGAAGGAAGAGAGGGAGGGAGGAAAGGAGGAAGGAAGAAAGAAGGAAGGAAGGAGAGAAGGGAGGGAGGGAGGAAAGGAGGAAAGAAGGAAGGAGGAAAGAAGGGAAGGAGGAAAGAAGAAAGGAAGAAGGGGAGGAAGGAAAGAAGGAGGGGAGGAAAGAAGACATGGTGGAAGAAAGGAAGGAAAGGAGGAAAGAAGGAAGGAAGGAAGGAAGGAAGGGAGGGAGGGAGGGAAGGAAGGAAAGGAGAAAGAAGGGAAGAAGGAAGGAAGGAAGGAAGGAAGGAAGGAAGGAAAGAAAAGGAGAAAAGAAGGAAGGAAAGGAGGAAAGAAGGGAGGGAGGGAGGGAGGAAGGAAGGAAAAAAGGAAGCAAAAAAGGAAGTAAATAAGGAAGAAAAGAAGGAAGAGAGGGAGGGAGGAAAGGAGGAAGGAAGGAAAGAAGGAAGGAAGGAGAGAAGGGAGGGAGGGAGGGAGGAAAGGAGGAAAGAAGGAATGGAGGAAAGAAGGAAGGGAGGAAAAAAGGAAGGAAGGGAGGAAGGAGGAGGAAAGAAGGAAGAAAGAGAAAAAGAAGGAAAGGAGGAAGGAGGGAGGGAGGAAAAGAGGAAGAGAGGAAGGAAGGAAGGAAGGAAGGAAGGAAGGAAGGAAGGAAGGGAGGGAGGGAGGGAGGAAGGGAGGTAGAAAAGGAGGAAGAAAGGAAAAGAGGAAGGAGGAAGGAAGGAGGGAGGAAGGGAGGGAGGGAAAGAAGGAAGGAAGGAAGGAAGGAGGAGGGAGGGAGGGAGGGGAAGGAAGGGAGAAGAAAAGGAGGAAGAAAGGAAAAGGAGGAAAGGAAGGAAGGAAAGGGGAGGGAAGGAAGGAAGGAAGAAGGAAGGAAGGAAGGAAGGGAGGGAGGGAGGGAGGGAGGAAGGGAGGAAGAAAAGGAGGAAGAAAGGAAAAGAGGAAAGGAGGAAGGAAGGGAGGGAGGAAGGAAGGAAGGAAGGAAGGAAGGGAGGGAGGGAGGGAGGAAGGGAGGAAGAAAAGGAGGAAGAAAGGAAAAGAGGAAAGGAGGAAGGAAGGGAGGGAGGGAGGAAGGAAGGAAGGAAGGAAGGAAGGAAGGAAGGAAGGAAGGAAGGAAGGAAGGAAGGAAGGAAGGAAGGAAGGCAGGAAAGGGGGAAAGAAGGGAGAGGAAGGGGGCACTGTTTGTCTCCCAGACATTGGAGGGTGGGGAGTCCACAATTCTCACCATCTGGAGTTTCCTGCGCTTTGAACCCTCCTCCGTCCATCCGGAGTGCCTCTAAGCACGTACAGAGTGCTGTCCATGGTGCTTTGATTGTGGTTGCCTTACATGGCAGAAGGGGGTTGGACTAGGTGACCTTTAGGGGTCTCTTCCAAGTCTATAATTCTATGCTTCTATGAGAAGTCTCTGGGCAGATAGTGGGCAGAGAAGGAGGGACCCCAGACCCAGTTGCCCCCCGCCCCCCAAAGAGCAGTCTTCATGGAGGAGGAAAGGACAAGGCTTCCTTTCTGCTTCTCCGGAGACTGGGACACAATGGAGTCAGGGATTCAAATGACATGGAAATTGATCCCCCTGAACGTGATCCAGACTGCCTGGGAGCCCAGTGGAGCCTCCTTCCCTCTCTAGAGGACTTTAAGCAGAGGCCGCATGATGGCCACCTGCCCACCTGCCGGGAGGGCTTCGATGGTGCCTTCCTGCCCGGCAGAATCAGGGTAGTAGGATTGGATGGCCCTTGGGGGTCTCGCCTACTGTTAGTGGGATACGCTGTCTTCTGGGAGCCCAGGGGAGTCTCCTCCTTTCTCTGGGGGCTTTTAAGCAGAGGCTGGGTGTGCATCTGTCGGGAGGGCTTTATGTCTTCCTGCCTGGCAGAATGAGATGAAACTGGATGGCCATTTGGGGGGAGGGGGGGAGGGGATGTGTGTCTACCAACTCTAGGATTTGATTAATTGATTGATTGATTGATTGATTGATTGAATGAATGAATGAATGACTGGATGCCATTGGTGGGGTGTCTCCACGATGCAATTAATTGAATGATTGGTCTAATGATTGATTGATTCTCTACCAACTATAGGATTTGATTGAATGATTGAATGAATGAATTGATTCATTGGTTGACTGACTACATGGCCATCAGGGGAGAATCTCTACTAACTCTAGGATTCAATTAATTGAATGATTGATTGATTGATTGATTGGAACTCTACCAACTCTAGGATTTGATTAATTGAATTATTGATTGAATGATTGGGTAGCTATTGGGGAGGAGGGTCTCTACCAACTCAAGGATTCAATTAATTGAATAACTGATTGATTGATTGATTGGAACTCTACCAACTCTAGGATTCGATTAATTGAATGATTGATTGAATAATTGGATGGCTATTGGGGAGGGGGGTCTCTACCAACTCAAGGATTCAATTAATTGAATAACTGATTGACTGACTGATTGATTGATTGGAACTCTACTAACTCTAGGATTTGATTAATTGAATGATTGATTGAATGATTGGATGGCTATTGGGGAGGAGGGTCTCTACCAACCCAAGGATTCAATTAATTGAATAATTGATTGAATGACGGATTGATTGATTGATTGATTGATTGACTCGATGGCCATTAGGGGAGTCTCTACCAACTCTAGGATGTGATTAATTTATTGATTGATTGATTGATTGATTGATTGCCTGGATTGCCATCTCAGGGGGGATCTCTACCAATTCTAGGATGTGATTGACTGACTGATTGATTTATTGATTGATTGACTTGATGGCCATCTCAGGGGGGATCTCTATCAACTCTAGGATGTGATTGATTGATTGATTGATTGATTGATTGATCGAATGATTAATTGACTGGATTGCCATCTCGGGGGGGATCTCTACCAATTCTGGGATGTGAGTGACTGAATGATTGATTGATTGATCGATTGATTAATTGACTGGATGGCCATCTCGGGGGTGGTTCTCTACCAACTCTAGGATGTGATTGATTGGATAATTGACCATTGATTAATTGATTGGATGGCCATCTTGGGGAGGGATCTCTACCAACTGTAGGATTTGATAAATTCAATGATTGATTGATGTTTTGACTGATTGACTGAATTAATTCATATGTTCCTCCCCCCTCTGTTCTTCCCGGCCGCAGACCTGGACGTGTCGGTGCGGGTCCTGCTGTACGCGGCCATCTTCCTGCTGAGCCTGGTGGGCAACGCGTTGATCGTGGTGGTGCTGGTGCTCAACCGCCGCATGCGCACCGTCACCAACTCCTTCCTGCTCTCGCTGGCCCTCAGCGACCTCATGGTGGCCCTCTTCTGCATGCCCTTCACCTTCATCCCCAACATCATGCAAAACTTCATCTTTGGGAAGGTCATCTGCAAGGCCGTGGCCTACCTCATGGGTGCGTTGCTAGATGCGGGAATCGCCCCAATATCCTTCCTTTATCCGTGCAGGAAGGGCTGCGGGGAGAAGGCTCTCAGCACAGGTTTCAGCAGCATATCGAGGTTGTCAGGCTCTCCCCTCGTCAGCCTGCAAGGCTCCTAATTGGTTCGATCTGTCAAAGAGTTGCTCTTCTACCAAGTGCCAGAACAATCACATCAGAGAGTCGGCGTTGTGCGTGCTTATCTCAATACACAGTGCCGCACCATAATTGGCATCTACTTGTAATAATATCACAGGGAGATAATATTTCCAGGTAAACGGGGATAGTTCAGTCGAGGTTTACCCAAAGCAGGATTAAGTCTTGTTTAAGTCTGGGTCCTTCTATCTTAGCAAGCTGATGTTCTCCTTCTTTACCTATTGATCACATACCTATTAATCACCTCCCTCTCATCAACAGTGTTTGCCACAAGAGCAGCATTCTTTGCGGTTATCCTTTCTTTGGGGGCCCTTCTGTGTGGCTTTGGGGGGGGGGGTTCTTGTCAGTGGCATCGGCAGCACAGCAAGGCAAGAACAGATCAATCACAGCCACTTTAGGCTATAAACTACTTTATTTTACAGCTATATACATGAGAAGCTACTTAACACTCAGCACATCGTAAACTTGCTTCTTTACCGTCCAATCGTTACATTGTGAACTTACTGACCATTATCAGTACTAGTCCACACCTCTTGCATTCCAGAGTGATGTATGTACGCCGCTGTGTCCATTTGTTCTATACACTTGATTTATGACCTCTCTAGGAATGCCATTCTGTCCATGGTTCAGTTAACTCTTTCCACACAGGAATACATTACACTCGGTGCATAGCTACTGCATTTTAAACATACATACATACATGGTGTAGTTTAATATTGAGATACATGTTTTTAATGGGTTGTTGTAGGTTTTTTCTGGCTATATGGCCATGGTCTAGAGGCATTCTCTCCTGACATTTCGCCTGCATCTAAGACCGCACAACCTCTGAGGATGCTTGCCATAGATGCAGTCGAAACGTCAGGAGAGAATGCCTCTAGACCATGGCCATATAGCCCAAAAAAACCCTACCACAACCCACATACATACATACTTTGAAATCTACATTATAATTTGCAAACAACTTCAACAGTTCTCCCTTGACTGAGTAGGTAGAAAGGCAGTCCCTGAGTTACAAACATCCAACTTACAAACGACTTCTAGTTAAGAACGGGGCTGAAGCAACAGGAAGTGACAGGGTCGATTTTGCAATTAAAAGGGTTCACTAGGTGGTTTTTACTTTAGTTTGAAAAGACTAGGAGATGGGTATGGAACAGAGAAATAAATACAGGAGGAGGCAGTCTACGAGTGTCAGACATCCGACTTGCAAATGACTCAAACAGGAAGTGAGAGGAATCTACCTCTAGAAAAGGCAATAATAATAATGTAATATAATAATAACACTTTATTTGTATTCCGCCCTATCTCCCCCAAAGGGGACTCAGAGCAGATTCCAGCATATATACTAGGCATGGTAGGTTCGGTTGGAATTTTCGTAATTCGGAATAAATTCAGAAAGATTTGCTTTTTTGAAGTGATTTCGATGTTTTTAAGGAAACCGGAAGTCCCTTTGCCCAACAGAGAGGAAACAATCAGGCACATCTAATCACCTCTCAACAAAAGATTCCCCCAGGCACTTCCAAGCCATCAAATGCCAATCAAGGTGGTCAGTTGAAACATTCACACCTAGCTCCAGCAGACAAGAGTCCTTTGTCCCACTCTGGTCATTCCACAGATATATAAACCCATTTTCCTAGTTCCAACAGACCTCACTACCTCTGAGGATGCTTGCCATAGATGCAGGCGAAACGTCAGGGGAGAATGCCTCTAGAACATGGCCATATAGCCCAGAAAAACCTACAACAACCCAGTGATTCCGGCCATGAAAGCCTTCGACAATACACAAAACTCTCTTGTTTGTCATTTGGGGACTGATTGCATATATGTCAGGATTATTGAAAGTATGCATGTATGTTTTTCAATGTGTTTCAATATGTTTAACAATGGTGTTCATATGTATTCAAGATGGATTCAGTTATGTTCAATTGTATGCTAGAATTGTTGTTGTGAGAGACAGAGAGGTAGAGAGAGACGAGACCTTGACAGAAGTTAGATAACAACTTCTCTCTGTCTGGGAAGAATTAGGGAGTAGCCGGCTTACAGCCAAAGTGAAACTGATAAGCAGATGTTCTGTAACCGTACTATAGTTGTGCTTTGTAGTTCCTGTTGTAGTTCCTGATTAAGCTCGCTTGGAAGTAGACGTGCATTAAGATGTGCTAAGTAAACTTTGTTATTTTTAAGACTGGCAGACTGCAGTGTCCTGTTTTGTGTCTGTGTGATCTAGTAACCTCATCTCCGCAGGGTCTCACTCTGACAATATATATGTGTGTGTGTTTGCTGTTCTGCATCCTGACTTCCATGTTTTGTCCCGCCCGGCAGGGATGTCGGTGAGCGTCTCCACCTTCAGCCTGGTGGCCATCGCCATTGAGCGCTACAATGCCATCTGCAACCCGCTACAGTCCCGCGTCTGGCAGACCCGCTCCCATGCCTACCGGGTCATCGCGGCTACCTGGCTGCTCTCCGCCCTCCTGATGCTGCCCTACCCGGTCTACAGCTCCATCTCCTCCCCGCCCGGGCACCCCTACATCTTCCAGTGCAGCCCACACTGGCCCGGCATGCACGTCCGGCAGGCATGGTCAGTCCATTAGCACGGGGTGTGAGTGTGTGTTTGTGTGTGTGTGTATAGACTGTGGGGGAGGAGCATGAAGGCCTGTGAATGAATCTGTGATTGTCAAGGTGTTGCACACTAGCCCAGAAACACTTTTTCACCCAGCTAACTATAGTGATTTATTTACAAAAAGCATATACAAAAGGGAAAATAGGCATTTTTATTATTTATTTATTTATTTATTTATTTATTTATTTGCTAGCCGTCCCCTGCCACGCATTGCTGGGGGTTCTGTGTGGGAGGTTTGGCCCAATGCTATCGTTGGTGGGGTTCAGAATGCTGTGTGATTGTAGGTGAACTATAAATCCCAGCAACTACAACTCCCAAATGTCAAGATTCTATTTCCCCCAAACTCCATCTGTGTTCACATTAGGGCATATTGAGTATTCATACCAAGTTTGGTCCAGATCCATCATTGTTTGAGTCCACAGTGCTCTCTGGATGTAGATGAACTACAACTCCAAAACCAAAGAACACTGCCCATCAAACCCTTCCAGTATTTCTCTTGGTCATGGGAGACCTGTGTGCCAAGTTTGGTTCAATTCCATCGTTGGTGGGGCTCACAATGTGATTGTAGGTGAACTATAAATCCCAGCAACTACAACTCCCAAATGTCAAGATTCTATTTTTCCCAAACTCCACCAGTGTTCACACTTGGGCATATTGAGTATCTGTGTAGAGTTTGGTCCAGATCCATCATTGTTTGAGCCCACGGTGATCTCTGGATGTAGGTGAACTACAACTCCAAAACCAAAGGACACTGCCCACCAAACCTTTCCAGTATTTTCTGTTGGTCATGGGAGAACAGTGTGCCAGGTTTGGTTCAATTCCATCGTTGGTGCGGTTCAGAATGCTCTTTGATTGTAGGTGAACTATAAATCCCAGAAACTACAACTCCCAATGACAAAATCAATTTTTTTTGAGTGAAGGACATACATTGGGTTGTTAGGTGTCTTGTGTCCAAATTTGGAGTCAATTCGTCCAGTGGTTTTTGAGTTCTGTGAATACCACAAACGAAAATGACATTTTTATTTATATAGATTTTATTTACCATATTTATCTATTGCCTTTCTCAACTCGAGGACGACTCAGGGCGCTTTACAAACAGCACAATTCGACACCCCCAACCACATAAAAACAATTAAAACATTTAGCATAAATAACATCAGATGAAACAGTAAAAACCAATAAAAAACGTTTCCCAAAAGGCAGTAGAAAAGGTGCTATGAAATAGCAATAGTCCAAATATATAAAGATCAATAGTCCAAGACTGCAAGGTTCATGGAATCCAAGAAGCCAAAAGCATAAACACAAATCCATAAGCATGAAAGCAGGAACTCCTCCAAGACAAAAACCCTTTCAGGAGCAAAGGCAAACTCGAGAGCCGATCATGAACTTGATCTTACGGCAGCATTGTCTGCTCTGAAGAGACCAGGAAAACAGCACCTAATTTAACCTCACCGAACAGTCATGGGATCTCTGGGTTGTTGTAGGTTTTTTCGGGCTATATAGCCATGTTCTCGAGCAGTGTTTCTCAACCTTCCTCATGGTGCGACCCCTTAATACAGTTCCTCATGTTGTGTTGACCCCCAACCATAACATTATTTCCGTTGCTACTTCAGAACTGTCGTTTTGCTCCTGTTATGAATCGTAATGTAAATATCTGATAAGCAGGATGAATTTTCATTCACGAGATCACATTTGGCACAAATACCCAATATGCCCAAATTGAATACTGGTGGGATTGGGGGAGGGTATTGATTTTGTTCTGTGGGAGTTGTAGTTGCGGGGATTTATAGTTCACTTCCAATCAAAGAGCATTCTGAACTCCAACAATGATGGAATTTAACCAAACTTGACGCACAGAACTCCCATGACCAACAGAAAATACTGGAAGGGTTTGGTAGGCATTGACCTTGAGATTTGGAGTTGTAGTTCGCCTACATCCAGAGAGCACTGAGGGCTCAAGCAATGATGGATCTGGAGCAAGATTGGCACAAATACTCAATATGCCCAAATGTGAACACTGGTAGAGTTTGGGGAAAATAGACCTTGACATTTGGGAATTGTAGTTGCTGTGATTTATAGTTCACCTACAATCAAAGAGCATTCAGAACCCCACCAACGATGGAATTGGGCCAAACTTCCCACACAGAACCCCCATGAACAACAGAAAATACTGTGTTTTCTGATGGTCTTTGGTGACCCCCCCAGGGGTCCCGACCCCCAGGTTGAGAAATGCTGTTCTAGAGGCCAGTAGGCTGTTAAGAATTGTGGGAGTTGGAGTCCAAAACACCTGGAGGGAGGGCCCAAGTTGGCCCATGCCTTTGTCCTCTTGCAACTGGACACTTGAGTCAATTGTGGAGGGCGCCAAACTGAAGGGGATGATGACGTGGGTTTGCAGATGATCCCATGATTGACTCAAGTGTCCAGTTCCAAGAGGACAAAGGCATGGGCCAACTTGTTAGGAATTGTGGGAGTTGGAGTCCAAAACACCTGGAGGGAGGGCCCAAGTTGGCCCATGCCTTTGTCCTCTTGCAACTGGACACTTGAGTCAATTGTGGAGGGCGCCAAACTGAAGGGGATGATGACGTGGGTTTGCAGATGATCCCTTGATTGACTCAAGTGTCCAGTTCCAAGAGGACAAAGGCATGGGCCAACTTGTTAGGAATTGTGGGAGTTGGAGTCCAAAACACCTGGAGGGAGGGCCCAAGTTGGCCCATGCCTTTGTCCTCTTGCAACTGGACACTTGAGTCAATTGTGGAGGGCGCCAAACTGAAGGGGATGATGACGTGGGTATGCAGATGATCCCATGATTGACTCAAGTGTCCCGTTCCAAGAGGACAAAGGCATGGGCCAACTTGACCGGTAGGCTGTTAGGAATTGTGGGAGTTGGAGTCCAAAACACCTGGAGGGAGGGCCCAAGTTGGCCCGTGCCTTTGTCCTCTTGCAACTGGACACTTGAGTCAATTGTGGAGGGCGCCAAACTGAAGGGGATGATGACGTGGGTATGCAGATGATCCCTTGATTGACTCAAGTGTCCAGTTCCAAGAGGACAAAGGCATGGGCCAACTTGTTAGGAATTGTGGTTGCTGGAGTCCAAAACACCTGGAGGGAGGGCCCAAGTTGGCCCATGCCTGCTGTTGAGACACCCTCTCGGACCACAGATGACCATTCTCATATCCCCATTGCAGCCCCTCCTGCCCTCCTTTCTGGTGACAGGCGGCATCAGCGCCAGCAGAGATGCCAAAGCGCAGGAATGTGGATGCCAGAGCCAATTAATGCTGATTGCGGAGACCTGATTAATCCTCCTCCGCCTCCTCCTCCTCCGTGGGCTGACATCTTGTCACTTGTGCCTGGAGACGGAAGCATTGATGTGGGGGCGATGCTCTCCCTCAGGCCACCTCCTCCCCTCCAGTCTGCCTCAAAGTGTTGTTAGGACCTCTTCCCATCCTCCTCCCTCTCCACGTGGCTGGTCAGTGGTCAGCAAGATTGTTTCCTGCTGGACCTGAGCCAATGGGTGCAGAGTTACGTGCAGAGGGATCCCAGCCAACCTTCACAAGGGCTTCCAAGAGGCAAAGGCGATGGGCACTTTGGGCAGAAGATGAGTGGTCCACCTCAGAGGGTCCAAATAGGTGACCTTTGGGTGGGGGTCTCTCCTTGCTCTGTGGCCCCCTCCCATGGATGCATGGATGGACTCTATGTACTTGCCCCCTCCTCAGCTCCACATGGAGGGGCAGGAAGGGTGAGGATGATGATGATGTAGTGTCGAAGTCGATCTCACAACCTCTGAGGATGCCTGCCCTAGATGCAGGAGAAACGTCAGTAGAGAATGCTTCTAGAACATGGCCAAATAGCCCAAAAAACCTACAACAACCCAATGATGATGATGATGATGATGATGATGTAGTGTCGAAGGCGAAGATCTCACAACCTCTGAGGATGCCTGCCCTAGATGCAGGAGAAATGTCAGTAGAGAATGCTTCTAGAACATGGCCAAATAGCCTAAAAAACCTACAACAACTCAATGATGATGATGATGATGATGATGTAGTGTTGAAGGTGAAGATCTCACAACCTCTGAGGATGCCTCCCATAAATGCAGGCGAAACATCAGGAGAGAATGCTTCTAGAACATGGCCAAATAGCCCGAAAAACTTGCAACAACCCGATGATGATGATGATGATGATGATGATGATGATGATGATGATGTAGTGTCGAAGGCGAAGATCTCACAACCTCTGAGGATGCCTGCCCTAGATGCAGGAGAAACGTCAGTAGAGAATGCTTCTAGAACATGGCCAAATAGCCCAAAAAACCTACAACAACCCAATGGTGATGATGATGATGATGATGATGATGATGATGTAGTGTCGAAGGCGAAGATCTCACAACCTCTGAGGATGCCTGCCATAGATGCAGGAGAAATGTCAGGAGAGAATGCTTCTAGAACATGGCCAAATAGCCCGAAAACAATAGATAAAAATACAATAAGATAAAATACATGTAAAACCATTTCGCCAAGATAAAACAACATCCAACTCTGTCCGCACATTGTGGTCAATGCATTAGTCAATTACTGGTCTCAGCCATCATTTTGGTAATACCTCGTTCCACAGCCAAGATGTCACCTGCTTCCTAAAGGTCAGGAGGGAGGTGGCAGAACTAACTTCATTTGGGAGAGAGTTCTATAGCCAGGGGGCCACCACAGAGAAGGCCCCGCCAGACGCGACTGCGAAGGTGGCGGGACCAAGAGCAGGGCCTCCCCGGAAGATCTTAACGCCCTTGATGGTTTGTAGGGGAGAATACGTTTGGACAGGTATTTTCTTCCATAAAGGAAAGCACGTTCCAAACCCTCCAGATAGATGGCCACCCAGCCTCTGCTTGAAAGTCCCTGCCCTCTCTATGTTTCTCAGTGGGGAATGTGCATTTCTGAGCCTTTGTGCATGGAAGTGTAGGGTTGCATTTCCACATGCTCGCAGACACACTGTCTGTATTCAAAACACAGCAGAAGCAGTTTTGTTCCAGGCCTCTTTTTCGGCCATGGAATCTTTCCACTTTGGAGCAAAATAGTGAGAAGGGAGCCTGCAGCAACCTTGGAGACCCTTGAGGAAGGGGCCGTGCCTTTTGTGGAGTCCAAATCCACCTCTGATGAAGTCACCAGGAACCTATCAATGCTTGCATTGGACGTCCCTCCTCCTCCTCCTCCTCCTCCTCCTCGTGGAGCCTCAAAGGTTCCTCCGGACTCCTCTGCTGCGTCCTTTTGCGCTGAAACACATTTGCTGCAGGGCTGGAAACAGGGCCAGAAGCCCATTAAGAGAACCAAGGCAGAGGGAAGCATTGCAAGCCAAGGTTTTGGCAAGGAGTACTACAAATCACCATAGCATCACAGGAGGCATCAAAGCTCATGATATCCTGGAAGCTAAGCAGGGCCAGCCCTGGTTGGTGCTTGGGTGGGAGTCCAGCAAGTCACACCAAGTGCTCTTTAGGCTCTATTTCAGAGGGGAACCACTTCTGGGGCTCCCTTGCCAAGGAAAACCCTTTGAAATCCCTGGGATCCTTGAAACCAGACAGCTTGTCCTGGGCAAAGCTGACCACCCCTTTCTAAGGCAGAGAACACTGGATTTGGGGTCATTGAAACTTGACCACTTCCCTTGTCTGGGGGCGAAGCTGACCACCCCTTTCTTAGGCAGAGAACACTGGATTTGGGGTCATTGAAACTTGACCACTTCCCTTGTCTGGGGGCGAAGCTGACCACCCCTTTCTTAGGCAGAGAACACTGGATTTGGGGTCATTGAAACTTGACCACTTCCCTTGTCTGGGGGCGAAGCTGACCGCCCCTTTCTTAGGCAGAGAACACTGGATTTGGGGTCATTGAAACTTGACCACTTCCCTTGTCTGGGGGCGAAGCTGACCACCCCTTTCTAAGGCAGAGAACACTGGATTTGGGGTCATTGAAACTTGACCACTTCCCTTGTCTGGGGGCGAAGCTGACCACCCCTTTCTAAGGCAGAGAACACTGGATTTGGGGTCATTGAAACTTGACCACTTCCCTTGTCTGGGGGCGAAGCTGACCACCCCTTTCTTAGGCAGAGAACACTGGATTTGGGGTCATTGAAACTTGACCACTTCCCTTGTCTGGGGGCGAAGCTGACCACCCCTTTCTTAGGCAGAGAACACTGGATTTGGGGTCATTGAAACTTGACCACTTCCCTTGTCTGGGGGCGAAGCTGACCACCCCTTTCTTAGGCAGAGAACACTGGATTTGGGGTCATTGAAACTTGACCACTTCCCTTGTCTGGGGGCGAAGCTGACCGCCCCTTTCTAAGGCAGAGAACACTGGATTTGGGGTCATTGAAACTTGACCACTTCCCTTGTCTGGGGGCGAAGCTGACCACCCCTTTCTTAGGCAGAGAACACTGGATTTGGGGTCATTGAAACTTGACCACTTCCCTTGTCTGGGGGCGAAGCTGACCACCCCTTTCTTAGGCAGAGAACACTGGATTTGGGGTCATTGAAACTTGACCACTTCCCTTGTCTGGGGGCGAAGCTGACCACCCCTTTCTTAGGCAGAGAACACTGGATTTGGGGTCATTGAAACTTGACCACTTCCCTTGTCTGGGGGCGAAGCTGACCACCCCTTTCTTAGGCAGAGAACACTGGATTTGGGGTCATTGAAACTTGACCACTTCCCTTGTCTGGGGGCGAAGCTGACCACCCCTTTCTTAGGCAGAGAACACTGGATTTGGGGTCATTGAAACTTGACCACTTCCCTTGTCTGGGGGCGAAGCTGACCACCCCTTTCTTAGGCAGAGAACACTGGATTTGGGGTCATTGAAACTTGACCACTTCCCTTGTCTGGGGGCGAAGCTGACCACCCCTTTCTTAGGCAGAGAACACTGGATTTGGGGTCATTGAAACTTGACCACTTCCCTTGTCTGGGGGCGAAGCTGACCACCCCTTTCTAAGGCAGAGAACACTGGATTTGGGGTCATTGAAACTTGACCACTTCCCTTGTCTGGGGGCGAAGCTGACCACCCCTTTCTTAGGCAGAGAACACTGGATTTGGGGTCATTGAAACTTGACCACTTCCCTTGTCTGGGGGCGAAGCTGACCACCCCTTTCTTAGGCAGAGAACACTGGATTTGGGGTCATTGAAACTTGACCACTTCCCTTGTCTGGGGGCGAAGCTGACCACCCCTTTCTTAGGCAGAGAACACTGGATTTGGGGTCATTGAAACTTGACCACTTCCCTTGTCTGGGGGCGAAGCTGACCGCCCCTTTCTAAGGCAGAGAACACTGGATTTGGGGTCATTGAAACTTGACCACTTCCCTTGTCTGGGGGCGAAGCTGACCACCCCTTTCTTAGGCAGAGAACACTGGATTTGGGGTCATTGAAACTTGACCACTTCCCTTGTCTGGGGGCGAAGCTGACCACCCCTTTCTTAGGCAGAGAACACTGGATTTGGGGTCATTGAAACTTGACCACTTCCCTTGTCTGGGGGCGAAGCTGACCGCCCCTTTCTTAGGCAGAGAGCACTGAATTTCTCCAGAAATGGCTTTGTCTGGCAGAATGTTTCAGTGCTTTCAATGCACCAGATCTTGTCTGATCTTGAGAGCAAAGCAGGGTCAACCTTGGTTGCTGCTTGGATGGGAGACCACCATCTTATACAATGTGCTTGAGGCTGTGCTTTGAAGGAAGAGTGATAGCAAAGCCACCTCTGAGGAATCCTGGCCTTAGTAGTAGTAGTAGTAGTAGTAGTATGTTTAATGTATTGTCGAAGGCTTTCATGGCCAGAATCACTGGGTTGTTGTAGGTTTTTTTCGGGCTATATGGCCATGTTCTAGAGGCATTTTCTCCTGACATTTTGCCCACATCTATGGCAAGCATCCTCAGAGGTAGTGAGGTCTGGTGGAACTAGGAAAAAGGGTTTATATATCTGTGGAATAATGACCAGGGTGGGACAAAGGACTCTTGTCTGCTGGAGCTGGGTGTGAATGTTTCAACTGACCACCTTGATTAGTGTATTGTCGAAGGCTTTCATGGCCGGAATCACTGGGTTGTTGTAGGTTTTTTCGGGCTATATGGCCATGTTCTAGAGGCATTCTCTCCTGACATTTCGCCTGCATCTATGGCAAGCATCCTCAGAGGTAGTGAGGTCTGTTGGAACTAGGAAAAAGGGTTTATATATCTGTGGAATGACTAGGGTGGGACAAAGGACTCTTGTTTGCTGGAGCTAGGTGTGAATGTTTCAACTGACCACCATATAATGGCCTGACAGTGCCTGGAGCAAACTTTTGTTGAGAGGTGATTATGTTTATTTATACCCTGCTATTTCTCTCTACAAAGAAACTCAAATTGGCTAAGAAAGCCCATGAACCACACGAGATTGCTGCTGTGAGGCAATAGGAGATTTGAAGGTGTGTGCCCTCCTCACCTTTTGCTTTGGTGCAGGTACGTCCTGCTGCTGGTGACCCTCTTCTTGGTCCCGGGTCTGGTGATGACGGTGGCCTACGGGCTCATCTCCCGCGAACTCTACCGGGGCATCCAGTTCGAGATGGACCTCACCCGCAAGGCCACAGGTGCGTACCTGGAGAAGAGAGGAAGGGAGGGGGCTCACCTGTGGACAGGTAAGCCTGGTGCTTGGGGAAGGGAGGGAGAGAGGATCCAACTTGGTCCAGACGTGAGGAAAGGGCCATTGGGCAGTAAAGAACAAGCAGTGTGCTCTTCACAGATTTAGAACAACCTATGTACAATGTGACCAGTTGCATCAGCTGACATAATGTCCTTTCATGAAAGATTTAAAATGGTCTTTCTTTGTCCACATGGATAAACTCCTTCAGCAGCTCATGAAGCAAGAGCACACTCCAAACTCTGTCTCCTTCTACTTCTCTCTTCTTTTCTCTCTGGACACCTGCTAACTCAAGCCTGAACAAAAACATAACAGTAACCAAAAGTCCCAGGCTCAGCCTGTTCCTTGGGTATCGCCCAATCAATTATTTATTCATTTCTGGTATTTCTACCCCATCTCTTCTCTAAGAAGGACTCAGGACGGCTTACATTTAGTAACGGTACAAGGCCACTACATCACAATTACAATAATATAATCCCAATCGAATACATAAACAATCATTAAAACCAGTACATATGGCATTAATTAAAACAATAAAAACAATATCACAATGTCATCTGCCACAGCTCCTTCAGCAGCTCATGAAGTGAGAGCACACTCCAAACTCTGTCTCTCTCTGCTTCTCTCTTCTTCTTCTCTCTGAACACCTCCTAACTCAAGCCTGAACAAAAATGTAACAGTAACCAAAAGTCCCAGGCTCAGCCTGTTCCTCGGGCATAACCCAACCAATCAGCTTCATACATCTTATTTTACATTAGACAGACACACACACACTAATTCCTTGCATGCTCCAACAACTTGGACAAGGGCCAAATAAGGAGGAGGTATCATCGTCGTCATCATCATCGTAATCGTCGTCGTCGTCATCATCATCATCATCATCCCACTTTCATCTTGACTGAAACACACACTTTTCCACAACTACAAAAATCACACAACTTAAAATCTCCCAACATATAAATACCCACATTGACTCAAGTCTCATGCACCAATAATAATAATAATAATAATAATAATAATAATAATACACTTTATTTACATTCTGCTCTATCTCCCCAAGAGGTTTCAGATTGGATTACAATACACATCCATATATAGAGGCAGAAATCCGGTGTCTTTTATACAGTGAACCATTTCATGCAATACACAAACAAAGGCAAAGGCTTCACTTTCCTTCTCCGGCGTCTGGGGGTGATGCTCATCCCTGGCCATGAGGAGGTGCTCTTGTTCCATTTTTCCATGCCAAAGAGCCTGTTGTCCATAGACCCTCCTGGTCGTGTTGCCGGCATGGCTGTGTAGGCATCTTTTACCTTCCCGCCGAGGCAGTACCTATTGATCTACTCACATTACATGTTTTCGAATGTTGCAACTCAGGGTAGTTTTCACCTTGTTCCAGACACCACCACACCAAGGCTGTAGGTTTTTGTAGTTTATTGAGAAAAGCAAAATCAAAACAGAGAAATAGAAATGCAATAGTTCCTTAAGCAAAACAGAGACTTAAATGTACCCAAGATCCAAAGGCAAAAAGATGAAGCATAATCCTTTAGCAATGGTCAACAAAAGTCCATGGTAAACAGTTGAAAACAAGAACCAAATCCCAGATTCAGGAAGCCAGAAGCATGCTGCTAAAAGCCAAGGAAAATCTCCAGAAGTTAACATGGGAAGAGCAATGTTGGACTGACAAAAACTGCCTGTCAGCTACAAGACTAAATACCCTTTACGAACATGAAAGCATTGCATTGACCTTTGGCACCTTTGGCTTCTCGCTTGCTGGCCAAGCGAGTGCTTCTCCGAAGCCTTAATTGCAAACGAGCTTGTCTGCTCATTAATTCATTATCTTCAAGGCTATGCAACCCCTTATCTGGGTCCAGCTGGGACGGATCCTCCACCTGGCTGTGTGGGATTTCACTCTCGCTATCAGTCTCTCTAACTGCAGGAACATTCCTTTCCCTGGGGAACTGACTTGCTGTTTCTCCTTCAGCAGACACACTATCAGCCCCATCTGAAACATGTACAGGAATCTGTAAACCATCAGCCTCCTCGTCATCTTGTAGGAAGTCAGGCTCAGAAGGCCCAAAATCAGGCTCAGAAGGCCCAAACAGCTCAGCTTGGATAGAGAAAACAATCATTTATTGTAGATAATTAAAAAGCAGGCAACTAAAAAGCACTTTAAAGAAATAGGTAAATCCAATTAGGTAGGAAGATAAGCAGGAACAAAGTAGTCCTGAGTAATAGTTCAGCAAAGTCCATAAAAACACAGTCAAAACTTCCCAAATAAAATGCAAGAAATCAGGAAACATGAATCCAAGGCATGAATATAAAAGCATAGAATCTAAGGATCAAAATCATGAAACAAAGGCACTTAAAACATGAATTTTCCAAACAAATCTTACATGAAACAAGGACGAGATCTTGACTTGATTCCAAACACTGCTTCATCTGACTACATTTCCTGTACTTGGGACTTTTATCTTCTCGTTAGCTATGTCTCTAGCACTCAGAAATTGGTTTCACTTTAGCTGAGAATTGCTTATCTTTTTCTCTCGGAGCCTGGCAGAACGCCGAAGCCACTGTTCAGCTCTCCTGTTTTGACTGATCTCCTTTCATCTATTTATTTGCACATTATCTATTTGCTCATTAATTTCTGCAGCTGGGCCAGGCGCCGAGCTGTTTTCGTGTTCCCTATCATGGGAACTCTCTGGTAGCAATTCAGAAAGCACACCATCATCCCCACACCCCTCAGGGACATTCTCATGGGAAACCACACTTTGAACAGGGATCTCCTGGTCCTTCTCTGCATCAATATCATTGACCAAACCATTGCCATCTTGAAACTCATCTTTAAACTCATTGACCTCACTCCCCACATCCAAAGCACTCTGACCCTGGAACACAATTACAGGCTGAGCTCCAACAGGGCAGTCTAGATAACCTTTGGGGGGTCCCCTCCCAAGGTCTTGCTCCCCAGAGGAGGCTTTGGGGTTGGGGCTTGCTATATATTTTCCCACAGCACTGCCTCTTTGTTCCCTCTTTGGCGTAGTCTGAGCCCCCACAGTTACTTTTGCTTTCATGGATGTACGTATATTCTCTCACGACCGGTTTCCACCCTGTTGTGCTCCGATTGTGCATCATACATAAGCTGCTGAAGGTTGCAAACTCCAGAGAATAATCCCCTGCGTAAAGAAGTGACTAATGGCTCCGTTATTTGTAGGACCCCCCAGAAAGCACCCAGGGGGTTGGGGACCTGTCATTGAACATCGGGAAAACCAAAGTGCTCTTCCTGCAGTTACCAATTGCTCTCCAATTCCAGAAATACAGCTTCATGGTGTAACATCTCCCTCTCTTTGCTTTCCAGCCCACCAGAACGGAGGAACAGAGCCCCATGTGGTGGTGGAAGTGGAGGAAGGGGACGGCTGCTATGTCCAGGGGCCACTCCCGGGACCGGCGGGGCCCCCTCCGGTGGAGCTCTCGGTGCTGACCCCTGCCATGCCGGACCGTGCACGGGTCAACAGCTCGGAGGCCAAGCTGCTGGCCAAGAAGCGCGTGATCCGGATGCTGGTGGTGATTGTGGCGGTCTTCTTTGCCTGCTGGCTGCCGATCTACGGGGCCAACACCTGGCGGGCCTTCGACGCGGAGTCGGCCCACCGGGCACTGGCCGGGACCCCCATCTCCTTCATCCACCTGCTCTCCTACGCCTCCGCCGGCATCAACCCTTTTGTCTACTGCTTCATGAACAAGCGCTTCCGCAAGGCCTTTGCCGCCACCTTTACCCGCTGCTGCTGCTGCTGCGGACCCCGGGGGCCCTGCCCCATCGCGACCGGGGCCCTGCGGCGGAGGAGGCAGCGCAGTGGTCCCGGCGAGGAGGAGCTGACCACCGCCACCGGGCCCTCCCTCTCCAAAATCAGCTACACCACCGTCAGCAGTGCCGGGCCCCTCTGAGGACGAGGAGGACCCCCAAAGCGCCCTCAGGAAGACCCCCCCCCCCATTTCCCCCAGGACTGTTCCCCCCTTGAGAGCATGTAGGGTCCCCCTTGCTTCTTGGATTGGGGGGTGCATGAAGGGGGTGTTTCCCCCTCCCCATGTGGTTAGTCCCTCCCAAACAGCCTCCCCGTTTCTAGATCATTCCCTCAAAGGAATGATTGCCCTCACGCCACTCTAAGCCCCATAGAGGCCTACAAGTCCCTCCAGGCCAGGTAGGCAGGAATCATAGTATCATTGAATCATAGAATCAAAGAGTTGGAAGAGACCTCATGGGGCATCCAGTCCAACCCTATTCTGCCAAGAAGACACCATCCGATCCCTCCCAACAGATGGACGGACATCCAGTCTGTGTTGGAATACCTCCAGCAAGGAAGTCCACTCGTTCTCCATGACTCTAATCTCCCTCATTGGCTCTTGTTGAGTGCCTTCAAGGCCCTTCTGGCTTATGATGGGGTCGTTCAGAGGGGTCTCCATGGCCTCCCCCTTGAGGCTGAGAGAGCGTGACTGGCTCAGGGTCACCTCTTGGGCCCCCAACATGTGTTTTGTCCCCTGGAATGCCACTCTAGCACTCCGACCTCCCTAAGCAACTGGTCTTGGGATTTGCAGCTCGCTAAGGCAACTATAAGCATTCTGAGCACAGCTGCAGCATGTTTTCTTTCCGGGAGGGTGGAGTGTCCCTTGAGCAGTCATGGGCCAACTTGGTCCCTCCCTCCAGGTGTTTTGGACTCCAGCTCCCACAATTCCTAACATGTTGGCCCATGCCTTTGTCCACTTGCAACTGGACACTTGAGTCAATCATGGGATCATCTACATACCCACGTCATCATCCCCTTCAGTTTGGTGCACTCCACAATTGACTCAAGTGTCCAGTTTCAAGAGGACAAAGGCATGGGCCAACTTGGTCCCTCCCTCCGGGTGTTTTGGACTCCAACTCCCACAATTTCTAACAAGTTGGCCCATGCCTTTGTCCTCTTGGACCTGGACACTTGCATCAATCATGGGATCATCTACATACTCACGTCATCATCCCCTTCAGTTTGGTGCACTCCACAATTGACTCAAGTGTCCAGTTTCAAGAGGACAAAGGCATGGGCCAACTTGGGCCCTCCCACCAGGTGTTTTGGACTCCAACTCCCACAATTCCTAATAAGATGGCCCATGCCTTTGTCCTCTTGGAAATGGACACTTGCATCAATATGGGATCATCTGCATACCCACGTCATCATCCCCTTCAGTTTGGCGCCCTCCACAATTGACTCAAGTGTCCAGTTGCAAGAGGACAAAGGCATGGGCCAACTTGGGCCCTCCCTCCAGGTGTTTTGGACTCCAACTCCCACAATTCCTAACAAGTTGGCCCATGCCTTTGTCCTCTTGGAACTGGACACTTGCATCAATATGGGATCATCTGCATACCCACGTCATCATCCCCTTCAGTTTGGTGCACTCCACAATTGACTCAAGTGTCCAGTTTCAAGAGGACAAAGGCATGGACCAACTTGGGCCCTCCCTCCAGGTGTTTTGGACTCCAACTCCCACAATTCCTAACAGCCGGAATTCCTAACCGGCTGTTAGGAATTGTGGGAGTTGGAGTCCAAAACACCTGGAGGGAGTGCCCAAGTTGGCCCATGCTTGCCCTTGAGTCATAACTTTATCTGAAAGCCCCCCTCCCTCCCTGCATTGCTTCTGCATCTTTGTTTCTGCCATTTTGGGGAGGGGGCTGCATGGGGGGGGGCACAACAGGGTTCCCTTTGTGTTTCTTTGTGATTGTGAAATAAAGCCCACACGTATTATGATCCTAGCTTATCCTTCCAATGTTGTTTTTCTTTGGGGGGGGGGGGGCACTAAAGGGGAAATTCATCTCATTCCACTCTCATCTTCTGTGATTGCTCAACAATAACAACAACACACACTCACACAATTTTGGGAAGAGCCGTCCTTCTGCCCCTGAATTATTCATCCATCTCTATTTCCGCTCTATTTTGGCAGGAAATGTGGGGAGGGGTCTGGCCTAGAAATGTCCTGGAAGAGGCTCCCCGTGCAATACACACACACACACACACATTGCTCCAAAGCTGAGATTCCAAAGCACCCAAAGCATTCCACTGCAAGGCCCCTTCTGCATGTGCCTGCATGCGTTCTCTCCCACCAGGCTGTTTTTGAAATATTGATGCCGTACAAGCTGCTTCCTTGTGCCTCCAAAAGCACATTTTGCAAAAAGCTGCAAATGCACTCCTGTATTCATATAGTTATATATATGTCATGTTCATTTGTGGGATTCGTGTGTTGCTGCCCCTATTGCAAAGAGACAGAATGGGGGGCAATGCCTGGCTTGAGAGCAGTACGTGTGAAAAAAATCTTGGAGTCCTCGTGGACAACAAGTTAAACATGAGCCAGGAATGTGATGTGGCGGCAAAAAAAGCCAATGGGATTTTGGCCTGCATCAAGAGGAGCATAGTGTCTAGATCTAGGGAAGTCATGCTCCCCATGCTCTATTCCTGCTTTGGTTAGACCACACCTGGAATATTGTGTCCAATTCTGGGCACCACAATTCAAGAGAGATATTGACAAGCTGGAATGTGTCCAGAGGAGGGCGACTAAAATGATCAAGGGCCTGGAGAACAAGCCCTATGAGGAGCGGCTTAGGGAACTGGGCATGTTTAGCCTGAAGAAGAGAAGGCTGAGAGGAGATATGATAGCCATGTATAAATATGTGAGAGGAAGCCACAGGGAGGAGGGAGCAAGCTTGTTTTCTGCTTCCCTGGAGACTAGGACGCGGAACAATGGCTTCAAACTACAAGAGAGGAGATTCCATCTGAACATGAGGAAGAACTTCCTGACTGTGAGAGCCGTTCAGCAGTGCAACTCTCTGCCCCAGAGTGTGGTGGAGGCTCCTTCTTTGGAAGCTTTTAAACAGAGGCTGGATGGCCATCTGTCAGGGGTGCTTTGAATGCAATATTCCTGCTTCTTGGCAGAATGGGGTTGGACTGGATGATGATGGCCCAGGAGGTCTCTTCCAACTCTAGGATTCTATAAGAACTTCCTGTGAGAGCCGTTCAGCAGTGGAACTCTCTGCCCCGGAGTGTGGTGGAGGCTCCTTCTTTGGAAGCTTTTAAACAGAGGCTGGATGGCCATCTGTCAGGGGTGCTTGGAATGCAATATTCCTGCTTCTTGGCAGAATGGGGTTGGACTGGATGGCCCCAAGAGAGGAGATTCCATCTGAACATGAACTTCCTGACTGTGAGAGCTGTTCAGCAGTGGAACTCTCTGCCCTGGAGTGTGGTGGAGGCTCCTTCTTTGGAAGCTTTTAACAGAGGCTGGATGGCCATCTGTCAGGGGTGCTTTGAATGCAATATTCCTGCTTCTTGGCAGAATGGGGTTGGACTGGATGATGGCCCAGGAGGTCTCTTCCAACTCTAGGATTCTATGAGCCTGTGAGAGCCGTTCAGCAGTGGAACTCTCTGCCCTGGAGTGTGGTGGAGGCTCCTTCTTTGGAAGCTTTTAAGCAGAGGCTGGATGGCCATCTGTCAGGGGTGCTTTGAATGCAATATTCCTGCTTCTTGGCAGAATGGGGTTGGACTGGATGATGGCCCATCAGGTCTCTTCCCACTCTTGGATTCTATGATTCCACTGAAGTCCAACCATTTGGCTCATCCTGAGTCCAGTGACCATTGCTGCACTGCATTCCTTTCCGAGCTGGATCAATAAACAGTCTGACACTTCAAAGGCTCCAATGATAGTTTATTAAGTTTCTGACCATCAAGAAGAACCAACCAGTGATGACATCTGATGGAGTCTTGAGCCACTCAAGACCCAAATCCTAGCTGGATTGCTTTTCAGCCAATTAGGAGCTGACAGAGCTTTCCTGGGTAGCTGTCAAATGAAATAAAAACACTCTGTATTCACCAGTGCGGTATGGCAGATATGGGCAAACTTTGGCCAAACTTTGGTGTTTTAGACTACAAAGTCCACAATGACTCCTACAAGCCAATAGGCTGTTAGAAATGGTGGGAGTTGAAGTCCAAAACACCTGGAGGGAGGGCCAAAGTTGGCCCATGCAGTATGGAGCACTTTCTCCACTGACATCCTCTCTGGCCATAGAGAAGAAACCTCTGCTTTTGCCTTCTACATCTGATTCAGACTTCTGGGAAATGAGACACACCAGGCTTCCAAACCTACAGTTCTTGCATAAGCTGAAATCCCTCAACAGCGAAGGGAGGCGCGTGGAGGCCTCTTTCATCTGAGCTGCTTATTGTAGAGAGATGTTCTGACCACATGATACAGAAGCTATCTCAAACAAATTTGTATCTGACTGCTAAGTTGTGTACCTGTGTTATGCTGAACACATGAAGGTTGTGAGTAAACCAAATATGTTATTTATTTATTTTTACCAAAAGTCTACTTTATTTTGTCTCTTGGGTGCATGATATAAAACAAGTTGTTTTATGGGAGAGGAGGTGTATTTTTGAGCACTGAAAAACACTTCTGAAGAACTGCAGGTCATTCAGTCTAACAACTGAAGTGAATTGCCTTGCATAATCACATTTGGTTAAATGCTAATTGAGAAGATTAGACTCAAACGGGTTTTGGGCTCTTCTCTAAAAGGCTATACAAGCCATTCTCTAAAGGGTTATGATCTCCAAAAGGCCATGTGTTTCCAAAATGGATTGCTTTGGGACAGAGGCTCCTCCTTCCAGGCCGGCTTCGGTTTCCCCTGAAGGAAGGAAGGAATGAAGGAATGGCCAAGGGAGCTGTCCAGTGCTGAACCCTCTTCCCACCCTGCCTTCCGTCCCCCATCAAACACTCTCAAATCCAGGGTGCACCCACTGCCATTATCCATCTATGGGAAGAGGAAGCTCTGATGGGGAGCAGACACAAACTGCACACAGGAAGGCCAACGGGGACTTTGGCTTTTCCTTGTTTACATGAAGGCTATTGTAGATGGCCATTGCATACGTTGGAAACGGCTTGAAAACAAACAACAACAACAAGGTCCGTTTTCGGTTTGGGGAGCTCTTCTGTGGATATGGGGGGGCAACAACAACAACAGCAACAATAACAACAACAAGGTCCATTGTCTGTTTGGGGAGCTCTTCTGTGGCTATGTGGTGGCAACAACAACAACAACAAGGTTCATTGTCTGTTTGGGGAGCTCTTCTGTGGATATGGGAGGGCCACAACAACAATAACAACAACAAGGTCCATTGTCTGTGTGCCATGTGTGGTCCAGATCCATTGTCAGTTGGGTTTAGTACTCTCTGGATGGAGATCCGTCATTAATGGGGGTTGTAGTGGTCTCAGGAAGTGAGTGATAGCACTACAACAAGGTCCATTGTCTGTTTGGGGAGCTCTTCTGTGGCTATGTGGTGGCAACAACAACAACAACAAGGTCCATCGTCTGTTTGGGGAGCTCTTCTGCGGATATGGGAGGGCCACAACAACAATAACAACAACAAGGTCCATCGTCTGTTTGGGGAGCTCTTCTGTGGATATGGGAGGGCAACAACAACCACAACCACAACAACAACACAACAACAACAAGGTCCATTGTCTGTGTGCCATGTGTGGTCCAGATCCATCGTCAGTTGGGTTTAGTACTCCGTCATTAATGGGGGTTGTAGTGGTCTCAGAAAGTGAGTGATAGTACTACAACAAGGTCCATCGTCTGTTTGGGGAGCTCTTCTGTGGATATGGGAGGGCCACAACAACAACAACAACAGAAACCACAACAACAACAATATCAAGGTCCATTGTCTGTTTGGGGAGCTCTTCCGTGTATATGGGGCAGGGGGGCTTTGACCCCAGTGTCACAGAGGCCCCATTGGGTAACCCCAGAGCACTGGCACCTGGCGCAGCCCTTGAGTATCAGGGGAATCCAGCAGTGCGCCTGGCATCTGGCGCAGAGCAAGCGGCATCCGATCCAGGCAGCGGTTGGTCGGTCGGAGACGGAGGCCCATCTGGCAAAGCAGAGTCGGAAGCGGAGTCAGGCTTTGTGTGTGTGTGTGTGTGTGTGCTGTTGGACCCATCTGCTCCAAATGCCAAGGCCACCGCGCAGGGGGGTCTCCTAGCAACCCCTCTGGGCCCCCGCCTCGCTTGCAAAACTCTCCGAATGAGGACGAGAAAGATGTGCAGGGCTCAAGACACCCCTCAATTGCTCTAGAGGAGGCATGGGCCAACATCAGATGTTTTGGACTGCAACTCCCACCATCCCTAAGAGTCTCAGGCCCCTTCCTTTTCCTTAAGCTTAAGTGGCTGGGGTGGAACTTGGCACACAGAGCCCCCATGACCCACTCTCTACATCCTGGTGCATTTTGGAGGAGGAGGATGGGACTTGAAGTACCTTCACTCCCTTCTCGAGACCGCTGCGACCCTCATCCAATGACCAATCAAGACCAAACTTGGCACTTAGAGCCCCCGTTACTGACTCTACATCCTGGTGCTGTTTGGAGGAGGATGGGCCATGGATGATGGGACCTGAAGTACCTTCACTCACTTTCTGAGACCGCTGTGACCCTCATCCAAGGACTAATGAAGACCAAACTTGGC